GTTAACGTATAACTTTTAAATGTTTAAATTAAGAAACGTATAAGTTTGAGTAATACAGATTATCAGCATCAAGAGAAGACTAAATCCAGATTTTAAAATAGCAACATGCGAATTCGGCAACGAAGAACTATATTTCAATGATAGGTGATATCCTGAGGTTGAAGGAAGTCAATCAAAAAGCAAAACTGATTACAGTTTCTTTTACGTAATTTCTCTTAAGGAAAAAAAAATATTTTCTCAATATTACTAGTGATGGCTTTATGATTTTTGACCTAGTATAAAAGTTTTTAATTTTTATTACGCTCTTCATTTGCGGTATGTAAGAAAATATTTTATTCTATTTTCATATATAAGATTCACAGGTTATTAAAATCGAAGGTCTTGGTTATTAACATTCCTTCTTTGAAAAGTACGCCTATTTGCTCAGTGTTTCAGCCTTTGTTATTATATCATTGAACATCAACACATAACATTAAAATCAATTCTCAATTTTTTTTCATATAAAATGCAGTATTACATTGAACTGTAAAAGAACACAACTGTGAGTCGTTTCATGGCTATTTATTGAAGAAAGTTAGATTGTTAATTTTATAATAAATAGCAAGAAGTATACATTCATACTAAGTGCAAAAATTGTGTAAAAGTGTAAAATATAATTTTTGTCTTTTGTTTTGAAACGAAGCTGTAGGAGTGTAAGCCAGCGTAATGATGATATAACTTAATGCTTTTTGTAACTATTAAGATTTTGCGAGTGACAACATAATTTAATGCCTTTTTGTAGCTATTAGGATTTGCCGAGTGGCAATGTCTAAAAAACGTTTTGATGTTACCAGTTAATGTTCAATCATTATTGCTTCCTAAGCTTAATTAAAAAAAAAAAAAAAAAAACTATCTTATATTTTTATTTAAGAAAACCTTAATATGTATTAAGGATATATAAAAATGAATAAACCCTAAGCAAGCACTAAATATATTTTATTATAAAGCTAAACGTCAAATAATCACGCCGATAAGTAAAGAACTGCAATGGATTTCTGAATTAATTTTATGATTACAAGCATTTGGCGTCTGCTTCATGCAAGAAAAACATTAGCTAATAAATTTAATTTTTCTTTTCGTAACGTATTTTTATAAACGAACCATTTCTAGCATTTTAAATTATATTTTATATAATTTGTTCATGTAAGATAATCATTTACTGATTCCCACCATACAAATTATTAATAAAATCTTTAACAAATTTTTTGGGGGAAATACAACGAATCAGCATTTTCTGGTAGACTAGTAAATCAACTTTTTTTGTATAGTATATTATATATAATTTCCTGTGCAAGATATGCAGAGGAAAGTAAAGATTAATATTTTCCGCTCTCCTATTATTAAGTATATATATATATATTCAAAATATACAAAGGATCTTCAAAAAGCAAATTATATTTGCTATTATAATTTATTATTTATTATTATTTTTAATTATTATATTTATTTATTATTTTTAATTTATTTATAATTTATTTATTTATATTTAAGTTCAGTAAAATAAATAAACTGATTTAAAAATCGTCCTTCATCCAAATTGGAAAATATCGTAATAATTACATAAACGATTATGTAAACATTCTCTTGTTGCGTTTAGCATTATTATTCTTTTAATTAGAAACATCTTCGGCAACAAATAGATATTGCTGGAAAGATATTTATTTACAGATTCCTAAATTGATTACCACCTTTAAATATTAAATAATGTTTCGCATTGTTTAACTTTATTAACTCTTCATTGACGAAAACAATTACTTCTTCAGAGAGCGTATCATTAAACGCTTCGGATGCAGCTAATTAAGCAAATTAGGCTTAGTTGTATTTTTCAGTCTATTTATTTGAAGAGAGTTAGATTAGTAATATTAATTATTAAATAAGATAGCGAATTTGTCCTCTGAGTCGCAAGAAATGGAAATTTAAGGATTCTTAGTGAAAAATACATTTAAAATAAATATATTTGCATCGCTTTTAAAATTTAGTTTATGAAATGAGGAGAATATTTTAAGAATATTTAATATATTTATTGAAATGCGATATGAAAATGGAAAGATAGAAAAGTATTAGAAGAAAAAATATAAATGTGATTAGAGATAATTTTCTTAGCAAAAGTAATAATGTATAATATGTATGGCAGTTGCATAAAAGACATTAAAAATGATTTTATTAAAGATATTTATGTGTATAATAATTGCATTTTATAGCAAGAAAGAGTTTTTTAAAGATAATTCATCTTTGAGTTTCTTAATAAAGAACTAGTATCAAAAAAATTATGAAGAAATCCTTTTCGCTTGATTCTTAAATGAATCAACAAGATTGTTTCTTAAAATGTGAAACAGATATCATCATGTTATAACTGAGAAGCTTGAAATTCAATCGCGATCTAAACAAATAACATAATTGAACTACATAATTGAACTACATAAACATAAACTAAAGAATTAGTTGCGTATCCTTCCCTATCGGTGATACATGAATGAAACGAAGATTTAAGATCAGGATTACAGAGATTATATATTGATACTACAATACTTCCGCATTATTACTTTCGTATTATTCGTGATACTAAAATACCTTCGTTTTATTGTACTTTAATACATAATACATATATTTTTATAGTAGTATTAGTTACGTGTCTGATAATTTCAAAAATTGTAATTGAGAGAGTAATTGAGTTTTGTAAAAATTACAATTTTAAGCTGTATTTACTTTTGAAATAAAGAGTTTAATATAAAATTTCGGCTTTCCAACTATTTAAAGTTAAGAAGAGTTCGTATACAAACAGCTTTATTTTTTCTAATATAAAATGAAATGAAAGATTATTATCAGTAACATAGCAGATCTGGTTTGCGTTTTTAAATTTTAGTTAGGAATTGTAAACTTAATATTTTTTCTGTATTTTTCATATTTCCTCAGACCTGCTATATTATATATATAGCTACTTATTTTTCCAAGGCTTTTATAAAGTTACAAGTGACACAAATTGTAATACATTAGAACCATTCGCTTTTCTTTTAATTATTAAACTTAACAACTAAACTGATACTTCTACAACATCATAAATTGCTTCTTTAACTATTTAATTCTGAAATATTTTTACCTTCGCATGATGCTTGTTAAAAGATATTATAAGCTTTTATATAATATTATAAAACAAAAGTCATAACGTTACATTTATACAATTCTAAGAAGGAAGTTAGATTTGTACAAATAAACCAATCATTTTCGTAACTGAATTTAAAAAAGATATATATTTAAAATTTGAACTTGCAATACCAGATCAATCAATGCTATCAACTGTATACATTAATAGAATAAACAATATTGACAGATGTTTAGATAAGTGCAATGAAGTCATTAAAAGAGAAATTGTGTTCATTCAGGCAATCGAAGTAAATAACTGGTTGTATCTAAAAAATAGAGAACAGAGCCAAATCTAACGATTTTTTATACGCCAGACGGAAAATAATTAATTTATAGAACTTCACTGTTGTTTAGATAAGATGTTGGTATTAATCAGGAAAGTTTCTGAGGTGACGTCACATTTTTGACAAAACAATTTGTTTTCAAAGAACCAAGTTTTCAGGTTCCTGTAAATATGCGATTTAAAATGCAATCTGCAAAATAAATGTGTATCTTTAATGAAAATTAATCTTATTAAACAAAATTCTTTTTTAATAAACTGATTAGCATAGACTAATATTTTTTGAATTCTTTATTGTGCTCTAAAAACACTAAGCTATAATTGTATAACTTTTGATTATTCTTAATAAGTGCTTTTTAGTTATTAAAATACGTTAAAAAATTTTTAAATTATTATTTTTTTTACCAGCTCGCTGAATTAATGTTAAAAACAGATGGTAGGTATAAGAAAAGTTTACTGTAAAAGTGTATTTAAGTGATCTTTCTTTTACAACTTTCACATTAATATTAAAGATTCTATTAAATTTTTATCTAATAATTTATGGCATCATCTGCGTTAAAGATATAAAAACACTAAATACTATAGACAACTTTATGACGTACTTCGTTTTAAGCCTCTTTTCATTTTTATTTAAAATTATTTTTAAAAAGCGATATTATCAATGATTTAAACTCCTGCATTTTTTATATGCTATGTTCAGTCAAAATACTGCCATACTTAATTTTAAATTATAAATATCATTGTTTTTACTTATCTTTGTAGTTATTTATATATTTATGCAAATATTAAATAAAAATTACTTTCATAATGATTTGATTAAAAGGGTTTTAAAGTGCTTAATTTTGTTATGGCATTTGTTTAATTTTAATTTTTATTCATCATTTCTTTTTTATTTTTATTAACTCTTCGATCTATTTAAAACAATTTGTCTCTTTGAGATATTTATAATTTTGTTTTATTGACTATTTTTTCTTTCTTTTATAAACTAGTTCTATTCTCCATGCCATGAAAACTAATAAATTAAGTGGCTATGTGGAGTTTTACTTCGTTGATAATGTCAACTTGCCTTAATATTGAATAGTTCTCATTAATAAATTAATTAGCAATTTTCATTTCGAATGCAAAATTTGTGAAATTAGACATTTAACGGAAAGTGTCGTGATTAAATCACGCAAATTTCTAATTATATGCATGAAAGAGTTTTTCTGAATTCTGCTTTTTTATTCTATTGAAAACGAATTTTAGTTTACCCACAGTCCCATTTTGTTTTAAGTCTAAACACGGAAATTACTGAAAGCATTGTCTCGAAAGCGAGCAGAAAGTAAAAGAAATGAAAATAATTCATACAGACTCAAGTAATAAATGAAATAAATTTTCCAACCCATGAAACAATCGAACTGGGTAAGTGGTAAAAACTCCCGGTCACGCTTAATGCTTCGCCGCTGATCCACATACACACACACACACACACGCTCAGCGCGCACACGCACGCTGCTTCTGAGCGCACACATGGCATGCAATATCATCTACTTACGCTTACATGAGTAATATTCCATCATGCTGGCATTGTAGCGGTAAGCCGTGCTAAGGTCCATCATGAAGTTCAGCTGCACGGCCGGCGCCAACACCTTGGTAAACAACACGTTGTTGCACTGTTGTAACAGCGAAAACCAAATAAAAATGTTGTGATTCGATGCTGGATAAGCAGTCAGTGTGCGCGGTGCACAATTTTATTACGCCTTTCACGGTGATTCTTCACGCGCGTATACGACCATTGGATTGTTTAGAAGATCTTCATTGAAATGTTTTATATGGGAAAATTATTTTAACAGAACTTTTCGTTACATCAAACACACCCCCTGTAAAGGAGTAAAAAGCAAACTGCAGCAGCGCCAGAACGTGTCTACGGCAGTGAATGATATTAATTCTTGTGTACGGTGTCTCGGTTTTCCACCGTGTGGCATAATTGAGCCTCCTTGGATAATCAGATTCGACCAATAGCCGCGCTTCCAGCCGAATGGAAGAGCGAAGTAAACCCGAACTTTTTTCCAGTAGATGGATCGCCGGGTTCCCGTATTTGGCGATAATATCAAACTAGCGAAACGATTTGGCGCGTTTAATTTTTTTATTTGTTTATTTCTTTTCCACGTTCGTATTTTATGGCCTTGGTGTTTTTCGGCTTGAGCGAGAGTTTTTTCGCGCTCGGGTGGTTTTTGGTGTTGAAGTCACGTGAGTCACGCTTCGTGATGCGTTATTGTTCGCCGGGCGAGAATGATGGAATATAGAATTTAATTCGCTTTATAGATGCAGCCAATATTTTGTTTTGCACAGGATTTTAAAGTCGCTGAGCAATGTGGAAGCAGAAACCGACAGCCAGTTTTAAGATCCATACGTAAATTTAATTCTCGCCAAGTATTAGAAAATTTATCCACAGGTCTTGTGTTGCCACTCCGACCCGAAAAAATTCAGTTTTTCCTTCAATAATGAAAGTCATAGTAAGTGTTGGATTAATTTAATTTTAAAAATTTGTTTGGTACGCATACTTTAGCAACAGCAACGTTGTTTCAGCATGGAACAAGACTAGTGATTTTAACATGTTGTTAGTCCCCCCCAGAGTAATAATAAATTAATATTGTAATAATAACAACTTATATCATATTAATTATTATATTATATAGTATTATGATTATGTAACAATAATAATTTATATTGAGAATTAAAATTCTCATAGTATGTCATATAAAAGAAATATCGGAGAATCAGGGCTTTGCTGTATGTAAAATAGGTAGATTCTTATATAAAGAGCCATGCAATAATTGGATAAAAAAAAGGTATTGTAATATTTATTATTTTTATTGTTATTATAAATCTCAAATTATCTGATATGATGTTTGCAATAAATGTCTCGGAAAATTTTCACATTCTTTTTTCATCAATTCTTCAAAATGTGATACCGTCATCAGTTAATAAAGGCAGAAGCTGTAAATTGACTTAAATTCCAATATAATGAGAAATTAAACTTTAGAAGAAACGTTATTATGTCCCTCGCGCCATTTCAAGGGCTTGAAAAACAGTCAATCTTGCTTAGAATGATATTTCATGGTGAGAATGATGAAACGAAATCAGAACCTGTCATCTTTAAATTGAAAGAAACACCACTAATCCTCACTTGAAAAGAAGAGTAATAGGGAAAGAAAGGGAAATTTGCTAATTATAAAATACTTCTAAGTACTGACTGCAAAGCCAAAAACTTTGCTTGTATTTTTATCACTTTTTTTTTTTTTTTTTTTAAGTGCATTAAAAACATTTATCCATAGTAACTTTCAAAGCAAACAAACTGTACTTAATTAATCATTTATCTGCATACAAAATAGTAAATTTTTGTTTTTTGTTTGTAAAATTTTATTAAGTTGTTAGTAGTTTGTAAAAGTTTTTTTAGCCCAATGTGGCGTTAGCCCAGAAGGGCTATTAGTCTCGAAAGTGCAATTTGCGCCCAATTACTAAAAGCGTTGAAAAACTTTTAAATTGTTGCCGCTAAATATTATCGCCCTGTATTATATTTAAAGAAATTAAATAGTGAAGAATCTGCATTCAATATATGTATGTTTCTCGCATTGTGAATAAACAACGGTACCGAGAGCCATCAAGTTTTGAATACCGTAATCCACCACCCGAACACTAACATCTGGTAGCCCGAATTTTGAATTTCGAATTTGTTTTATTGTCTATTTCATATTTGGTAAAATCTGAAAGTTTTCAGATATTTTTATTATTGTTTTAATAATTTTTTCAAAAAAAATTAATGAATGGTTAAAAGAAAGGTACTGATATTCGTAACGTTCATTTATTTGCATCGGATATTTTAAAATCATTTAGAGTTTTAAAATGCTGCCTTTTAAAAATTTGAGAAAATTTAGTCCTAGACTGACATTTTGAAAGAACTTTATATGGGTCTTTTTTCTTCAAAAAGCAGAAAATAGACCTGTATCAGATTCTCTTGAAAGCTCACAGCGTTTCAATGAAATTAACATCAACTTAAGGTTAAAATTTTGTCTAATTCTCATGTTCAAGTTGACTTTCTTCTTTCACGTGGGTACTAAAATATTTTAATAAACACTTACTATTTAATTATGTTATCTGCAAAAGTAAACGACCTTGATGTGTTAGAAACCAACGCTTTTTAATGTAATTGTAAAATTGAAAAAAGAGACAATTTTAGCAGTAATAATTAACTACAGTTAATTCTAATAATTATGCAAGTATAAAAAAAATCCCGATACTTGAACTTCGGTAGGAGATTTGGTATTCCAACATTTAATATTTTTACAACTATTTATCAGGTAATGAGATAATGTCCAACGTGATCAAAAATTTAAATAAATAACTAAATAAAATATTTCAGTGATATTTTGTAACAAAGGACAGATCAAGCTCGAGAAAAATGTTGGGTAGTTGCTTAAATTCATATGAAAGAATTTTTAATGATAGTAATATATTTTGAAAGCAACCCTGAACGATTGGACTACAAACCTCATATCTTATACGAATTAAAAATCTTAATATCATAAGCTAATAGCTTTTCATTCCTTTTATTTTATTATTATTTTTTACTTATTTATTTAACTTAAAGTAATGTTAATCTACAACACAAATTTGAGAGGGGGAGAAAAAGCAAGACAGAATGAAAGAATTTTTTCCTCTCGGTCTATGTATTTTTAGGAAATAAGCAAAATTTAAATAAAAATTACGATGAAAGGCAAATGCAATACTAAAAGGCCTAAGAAAAATCTAAAATATCTTAAACATGTTGCTAATTCAACTAAAAGCAGCTAAGAAAACAAATCGTGGGCATTCAGAATTGGTAAATTTCTTGAGCAAAATGATATTTTCTTCTAAATAAATTAATATATATATATATTAAATAAATACAAGGAATAGGGGGCTGTCATTTATATAAATACAAGAATTGTAGTTTCATGCAGTTATTAAATGTAAGAAATGATAATTACAGTCTCTCCTCCCCTCCTTTTCTCGAATAAATAATAGCATCCAAAAGGAGTTTTCAAGGCTGTGTGATGCAAATCTGAAGCATTTTCTGAAAGGATGATCTTTTACAAGGAAAATCCTAAAGTGCCCCTCTCTTCCTTTACGATATTCAAATAAGTTATCCATTTGTATCGGATGGCCCAAAATAAACCGAACCGGATACGGAAGACCTCACTTGCTTTGAGTTCAGTTTACCTTGGGCCACCCAATATACAAATAAACAATATTAAAAATTGGGTTTTATTCGCATCATTGAGGGAAACATTCATAAGCTCCTTAAAAATTTTCTACGAAGTCTCCTAAAAAGATAACATTTTATTAATTATATTACTTCCCGTCTATAATGCGCTTCGCTGTATTCTTGCTTCGGATATTAAATGGATATTACCTAACGTAACACATAAATTTAGTGATCTGTAATGTGCGTACTAAAGTAAAAAATAAATAAATAAATAAAATCGGGTTTTCTTTAAATAAATTTTACCATCTGAAGAAACTGAAATTTAGATTTTCATTTAGTAATAGCCAAGCCAACGGTGCTCTTTGCCTGATGGGAGATATGCCTTCGTAGAGGACTTCCTAAGGGAAAATGGCTGGTATGAAAAATCCATGCAAGCAAACCAGTTCGTTTAAAATCGAACTTAGGTCGAAACTCTGTAGCAAGATCCGTTAATTAGTTTTTTGGTTAATTAACTGAAACCTAAGTGTAAGAGAACTGCCATCTTAAGCGGAGTTCCTCGCCAATGGTAGAATGAATACTGGGAGTTTGACCTGTGTTCGATTCTATGCTCATGTTTGATTTCGTGGCAGACAGCTCTCACGAGCTATTCCATATTCAAATAACCTAACCGAAAGGAAGCCTTTGTGGGGTACCTTAAGGGAAACTGGCTTGTTTTTTTTTTTTTTTTTTTTTTTGTCTCCAGATGAAGAAAAGTACAAAAACGTTCATTCAACCAACAAGGACTTGAATATGGTTCAAATTACCAATATTCAGCTGTCAAATTCAATCAGTATCTAATAGGAATACCTAGGTACGTAATTAATAACTGTTATTACTTACAGTAATGTTACAAACGTTCATCATATTAATCACCTCGATATATATATAAAAAATAAAGCTATAAATTATGAAGTTCTTTTATTACTTTTAAATTACTTAATTTAAAGAGAAATAGTTATGAATTTTAAAGATAAATTGAATCTTATGAATTTTTGAAGCAGCGCCCTGAGTACAGACAACTTTTCAGGTATCAATCAATTCGCTTATAGTTACTGTGTAAACTTTTGGAAGGATTCCAATAAACACAAGGTCTAACATCAAAATGAGGCCCACCAGCAGTCGAGCGGTAAAGTTGTTGAATATTGGTAGTTCGGTCCGAGGCTCGAATTCTGCGAACGGGCTGGTTGCATTCCCTTAGAAAGTCCTCCATGAAAGCACCCCTCCCCTTCGGCAGATAGCCCTTGACGTTTTGCCGTAACCACATAAATCAACCAAATCAACTTACATCAAAATGGCTTCTTCAGACCACCAAAGTTGGGAGCTGTAAATACGCTGAAGCAGTGGCTTTAAACTCAGAGACTTTTACAGCATATTTAATTTTTCATATGGTTTATTACATAGCTGCCAACACGCTTTCATATTTATGTAACTTATATAATTTGTTAACTAAAATGAATAAAAATGATTTTCAAAATTTATTATTAAATAAATATAACTATATATTGTTAAACGGCAAACCTCTCATTCGGTAATCTCGAGTGATCTCATAATGGATTGCCATCCTCGTTATAATAATGTGTTTATTTCTGAAGATGAAATGGCCAGTTTTTCACATGTATAAATGTCTCCGATTATGTTTTTAGGGAAAAGTATCTCCTTATATTTGTACTTCCGTCATATCCGGGAAATTATTCTCATTGCTTTTTTCAAGCTCAATTATACA